CTGCCTGCCCTCCCTTGCTAATTGTTCCCCCATTGCTTGCCCCCCACCACTGCTTTCTCTGCTGCCACAATAGGGGGCCTAATACAAGATGATCCTCCAATAATTAGCTTCTATACATGAGAAATACTACGAATTTGTAATTCACATAAATATGAGAACCAATGTATCTATGTCCTCTCCATATTTAATAGAGTTCAGAAATTCTCTGCAGCTGACTTAGAAGTATATTATTTATGACTTGCCTTTTCTTCTAGATTTCCCAGCGTAATCAACCATCATGACCAAGATATCAAGATATGCAGCTCGGGTCACAAAACAAGGATTTTGCCTAGAAAACAAATTGTTGAAAGAATGTTAGTTAATAATAAAATTCCTGCACTGCTTAGGCTGCCATTCAACTACAAAAAAACCTGCTAAATTGGAAATCAAAATAACTTAAATCTATTAGGCTTAATTAGCACAGAGGACCCAGAGAGTCCCATTCTGGTCCAGACCAAACCACTGCCATCATATTCCCCTCAACACCATATCCCTTATTTCCACATTTCACATTTCTAAGTACAGGCAGTCCTCGACTTACAACGTTTTGACTTACAACGTTTATAAATTAACACCCTGTTTCAACTTTATGACGTCAGTTTTGACTTTACAACAACGGATCCAATGCCACACCAGCGAACAAGTTTGCTGCGTTGCCCATCTCACTGGAGAGCATCTGTCCAAACTTCTTTGGACACTTTCTTTAAGAAAGCAGACAAGACTCCAGAAAAACCTGCAGCCAAGACTCCTGAGAAGACTCCAGCAAAGAGCCCTTCAAAAAGTCCAGCCAAGAGCCTTTCAAAAAGTCCAGGAAAGACACCTCAAAGAAGTCCTTCTAAATCAATATGATTGGTATTTACAATACAAATACATTAATGTAGCTATATTACTCATCTATAATTGATTGAGTACAAAATTCTGGGTTATTTTTGGTGAAAATAGGGTACCAGGCCTTGGTTCAGGAACTGAAACCCCATTTATAACAGTGTTTCCTATGGGAAAATTGTTTCCAAGTTACAGCATTTCGATTTAAGAGAGAGTTTTCAGGAACCAATTGTGTCATAACTCTGAGGACTGCCTGTACTTTATTTAGGAGACACACAAATTGACTTATCAGTTATGGCAACCAGTCTGTTTATTTTCCTTATTGTTAATGCATTTAATTAATCAACAGAACAAAATCAAGAGGCTATATATCCTCCCCAGCCCACCACAAACTACTGGAAGAAGGACACTTTGTGCCTGAAAGGCTGTCTGACACTGCTCCTGAACAGAGGCATAATGGGGCAGCCAGGCACTTGGGGAAACAGCAATTTCTGGTTCCTGCCACCATTGTGCTGGTACAGCTGTGGCAACAGCAACGGAACTGGTTTTTTCCATCCGCCCAAAACCAGTGCCCAGAGTGGATGGTTGCCCCGTCCAAGTTACACCACTGTTCCCAAAATGTACAGCTGGTTCAATTAATGATATCACACAAAAAAGCCTTGCATCTTGTCCATTTCCAGGACCGCTGTGATTGTAACAACATTCCAACCTCCTTTCATGAGTTTGTCAAAAAGCAGCCCACAACACCAGGGGCTGTTGCACCAAACTGCTGCACCTTTACTTAGACACAGTTAGATTTAGACCCTGTTAGCATAAATTGGGATTCTGGTTTAATTTTTCAAACCCCCCACATTTAATACTGGGGCCTTCCTTTTTATAGCATCAGTCAGCTGTAAACCATTTTCTGCACTGTAGCAAACCACAAGTAATTCAAATCATCTGGACAATTAGAGAGTTAAGCGAGTCTTATTTCTTCATTTTTCTTTACATTACTATCACTGCATGTTATAGCCAGAACGGCCTTCACTGGAGCATAACTTACAAAGTAAAACAGAAATGCGTTGCAACGCATTCATAAATGGATCTAGTGAGTGTGGGGGGAAGGGGGATAGCTTGCATTTAAAAAAAACCATGGGAGAGCCAAGCCAATGCAAGCTTGAGATGTGACTAATACTCAGTGTTCTATATTTTTACTTTAGCTGACATTTGCTTTGCCCGCTTATCTTTTAAGTTCAAAACTCATTCAAGAATTTGTTAATTAAATATATTTCAGGAGAGATTCTCAGTTTCACAACTTCTCTAAAATTCTAGAAAAAAACAACACAGTGGAACATTTTTGCAAGTTTACAAAGATATACAAAACCCTGACATGCAAACTACAAGTTTGCCTTCATACCCTCAGTAAAAGTTTTGCAGCTGTGTTTCACTATGGAGGAGTTAGTCCCTGACAGCAATGGAAAGACCAGCTATCGTAACACATTCCCTGGAAAGGGAAACTCGGTTATGAATGTATATAACCTAACGTGTTAACCTTGCTGGACAATAACTTTTTCATGCTGGATATATCATCCTTATGCACCACTCTATGCAACCATCTTTAAAAAATATATATATATATATCCAACATATGAAAGAAATACAAACCCCTGGTAATTTTTTTCCTGCCTCTTTCTGCATGGGAAAGATTAGTTATGGGACAATGCAGAAAGAAACTACACCCATTTCTGAATAATTAGCAGGACGTGGTAAAAAGTGGTCTGTATTGTACCTGTATCACTATCCGCAGAATACACTGGGCATCAGGGGTGTGCGAAACGAGCTGTATTCAATTAGGATTCAACCTGAATGGCGGACAGTGATTCGATTAGTTGATTCGGATCACTGTCCCGATTCGATTCAGCTGAATCCTAACCTGAAGATTCGACACTGACTAGGAGAACCAGCAATTCGGCCATAGATACAGTTATACCTTGAGGTACCAAGTGCAGTTCATGAACACTGCAATGGTGGGGCAGATGGAACATCCCACAGGAATGTGCCCCCCCCCCCAGCTTGGCAATCAGCCTGGGGAGGGGCCTGGGGCCCCTCCAGACCCAGGAGACACCAGTTGCCAAGCCAGGGGGATGCTAGGGGGCCCCCCGGCATGCTCCCTGGTCGACCCAGAAATGGACTGTAAGTGCTTCTGGTCCACTTCTGGGTCTGCTGCCAAGCATGCTGGGGACCACCCCCGTGCTCACGTGGGACGTTCTACCATCTCAGCGTTCATGAGCCACACCTTGTACCTCGAGGTACATAGAAAAAAACATATAAAGCTGTGTCTATGGCCGAATCGTCTAATCTCTCCGAACTGATTTGGCCACTGAATTGGACTGAATCTCCGCTGAATCGAATCAGTGACTGAAGCTTTGCACAGCCCTAACTGGGTATTATTTCTAGTAATCTGAAAGACATGAACATATAATTGATTTAGATTTTGTCATTTAAAGAGAGGTGGTCATAGTCCTTTTAAATGAAAAACAAATCAGTTTACCATCATACCAGTCCTATTGAATTCTTTCCTTTTGGATTGTATTAAGGAATCTTTCTTCGTATAACTGATGACTTGACTGGTACTTCAGTGTGAGATGGTGAATGTAGGTATAAATTTAAAGTTTGATAGAGCAAACATGAGATCTTATTATCATGAGTAATTTCTTTTACCAAAATAAATACAGGAATTGGAAAGAAAGATTGGAAATGGGCAAATACAACCCAAGAATTTCCAGTGACGCAGCTGGGCCCATAAATTTGAGTTGTGTCAGAAGATGCTGGCTCTCAGAAACAAAGCATGTTACAGTTTTCAGACCATAAGAGTTCCAAACACTATTTTAATTGTCTTTGGAGATATTCACTTGCAAATGAGTTGATGCCTTAATGCCTCCTGCAGAACGTGCTACATTAATGGAAAGCCACTATGATTATTTCATGCTGTATATTTATAAATAGTTTACAATGCCCAATACAACACAGCTTGTATATGAATTTATGAACAACTACACAACTTTTAATACTGGTTTTTGGATTTTCTTTGTCCCCTATAAGCGAAAGAGATAAAATACTGCAGAGAAATCAAAACACACTACAAATTTAGAGTCAAAAGCTTGCCCAGAGTACAGTTACCTACCATGAAGAATAAGGTCCATAGGAAGCCACCATAATTTCAACATGCCTACATGTGCACATACAAATCAACCAGTTCAAGTATTTACTTCAATACTAAGTGGAAATTGCAATTCTTGTCTGTATCAATGTTTTCAGTTTTTCACAAACTGGTTTTGCAGCAACTACAAGAAGTTCAAAGATCTGATGCTCAATGTACCAGAAAAGAGAATGACTAAAGAGATGACCTTAGACCAGGGTTTTTCAACCTTTTTGGGCCAGTGTATTTCCAGTGGCTGGATGCAGAGCAGTATAGCCCCGGTGCCCAAACGCTGAGCAAAGAGAGGTGGCGCATGGCTGGATGCTGAGTGGGGAGGGGTGAGGCAGAGCAGTGGCAGCTGCTGCGTGTGACATTCTCTCCCCACCTGCATCCAGCTGGGCAGGCAGTGCCTGTATGGGATGGTGTTTGGTGGCGCTCCGTCCCTCCCTGCCCGCGCGTACCCCCTACGGCCTTCTCACGTAGCCCCAGTTGACAACCCCTGCCTTAGACAAATTAAATAGCAAATTGATGGCTCCAAAACTATCACACCCCATTACCTGGATTGAGGACAATGACAGCTCTGACAGAGTTTAATTAAACCTGGAGTGGATGCTGGGCATGCAGTATTCCAATTGGAGCTCGGAAACCACAAAGGAGGGCTTTCATCTAACGTAAATTTTCAGTTTGTATTCTCCCTTTCCAAAGAAACACGGCTGATGCAATCTTTACTGAAGAAGTAAAGACAGCATCAGAAGCTTCTTTATTATCTCACGGCAAGCCAAACATTTGTTCGTGGCTTGTTTCATTGCTCTGATGTTGAAGTAAAATTCCTAGCAATATATGCCAGCTGGACAGAGCAGAAAATTCAGTTTTCCCCAAAATCAAAAATTCCAGTGTTGCTTGGACTGTAATAAAGATTCACAACACAATCAGAAATTGATTTGTATAATTCACCCAGAAGTGGGAGACCATATGTTGATGCGTTTATTGTTTTAAGTTGGAAGTCTCCAAAGGAAAGACAGACCCTCAGGTGCCACTACTCCACCTTCTGCATGAACAGGAAAGAGAGATAATTGTTCCAGAACATACATGCAGAACCTGGACTTGACAAGACTGGCACACATGATGGTATGTCTACCTTACAATCAGGGTAGGGACTAAAATGTAGTGTAAAGGTACTGGTAAATGAGTTACCTCAGATACCAGAAATGGATTAGCTGCAGCAGCTTGGAGTTCAGTGTGGACTGATTTATCCTGTTTCCCAAGGAAAATAACCCCACACTTCT